CATGGATCAATAAATAGCTGATGGTAGACTGTTATATTGCACACTGTATATGATAAACCATTCTTCCCTGTAAACATCGGCTGGCAACTGCTAAGCTGAGGGATCATAAAACATACTGCAACAGTCTAATTGCAACATACGTCTGGCACCTTGGCATATTTAAGTATAAAAGCTGAAAAGCACAACATACATTACGCGTACAATGTCCACACGTCCAAAAAGTTCAAAAGTAACACTGGATATCAATTTTTCTATTGCAGGGGCATCTACGGACTCGGTCCGACGAGCTGTCAACACTACTTCTTGCCTTTCATCCATGTTTAGAGGCGGTCACAAACTGTAGTGACGCTATAAATAACGAATTTTTAACAAGTCTTAAACAATAGCTTATACGAAATACACCAAATTCACATGTATAACATAATTTATAAGTCTAATTACCAGCTATTTTAGCGATAGAGTTTGTTTACAAGGATTTTTCCTCCTATTTTTGACAAGAATCATTTTTGCCACCATTGAAAGCAGTTGCTTAGCAACGAAGCAGTCGGCGCGCGGGAACACGCGGGACTGAGTGCGCGCGAATTATTCATTTTTCCAAATTCATCTGTCATCTTCTGGTCGCAATGAGGTTTATATGGTCTGAGGAAGCCAAGAATAGTGGTTTTACTGGTTTAGTTTTATTTCTTGAACGGCCAAAGTATTTTTGAATATAGAAAATTTGCTCGGAGGCTCAATGAGTTTCATGCTATACAAGTAGCTTTAAAGATAATTTATTAATTACATAAACTATGCATAAACTTCTATTTTTTCAGCATGCACTGACGAGTATTAAGTGACCACGAATATCATTCGCTTTTATTTTACTTACATTTTCTTCGAAACACTTATTAACATTGTCAATATTATTATCACTTTTCTTACACTACATATACAATTTAACTTATAAAGTTAATTACACATTAATATTTTCAGCTATCATTTCAGTTTAACAAACTGAGAATAGTTACTTCAGCTATCTTAGTATTTTTGCCAACTGGGGCCGATTGTTATAAAACTGCTTAGTTTAAACCTAGGTTAACGAAAATGTCATGAAGATAGTTTTCCACATTTCCAAAGTTTTGAAACAAACAAAAGTGCAAATGTGGTTAAATCAGGGTTAATTGTTAACCCAGGGTTAGCGCTAGTCGAGCTTTGAACAACTGGCCCCTGTCGATGTCAATGGAACAAGATTCAGTAAACCTAACCCGAACGAGTTAGCTGATTCTGTATTCCAATCAGTTGAAGGAGTGCGTATGTTTAATACTTTACAATATACTCAATATACAGAGTTATAGTCAGGAAAGCAAGGAAAGTAATATCAAGCTTGCAACAACGGACCAGGATTTCACATGGTTAAAAGTATGCGCTGCACTGGAAGTTGTACGTTTGGATCCCTTCAATTCTTCTTGACTGATTGTTGGTTGCTCAGCTATATAAAACAAAATGTCGCATTAGATGAATTTGTTTCGTACCAGTAAAGGCTTCATATGCCATTACTGAGAAAAACTTTAACTTACGAGTTGTGAGAAGTTCGATCAACTTTTTTTGATCTGACAAAATTGTTTCGTAGAATGCGGTCTTTATTTCGACTGCAGTGAGTTCTCTTTGCCACTGAGCGAGATGTGCGATGCCAAAGTTGCCATATTTTGTCAACTTTAGAATACTGTTTGGCCTTCCGAGTGACCAGCCACGACCATATTCTGGCCTCGCAAATGTAACCTCTTTCCGTGGAAAGTCTTTTTGCTGCACAGCATTACCGTCCAGGTACAAATGAATGCCTAAAAATAATGTACTACAGTTCACTTTCAGGTGCAATATTAGAGGATAAATAATGAAATTTAAACAGTACATAATACATGCACGGGTGCGCGGAAATACCAAATTTATTTCGAGTGTTGAACATAATATCATGTTCAACACGAGAAATAAATCTGGTGTTTCCAAGCACCCATGTATTTTTCCGTTTATTATATAAAGGACAGTCTTTGAAAAGCGATAAATTTTACAGAAAAGTGATGATTGAAGCACTAGAAATCCCGGGAGGGGGGGTGAAAATTTAAAAAAAAAATTCGTGCAAAGAAAAATGCCTGGAAAAAAATTCGTGCAACCATTACGTCAGAGAAAAAAGAATCGTGCAAGTAAACAGCAAAGTGCAAATAGTCTTGAAAAAAATTCTTGCAGAAGCTAAATGCATAAAAAAAATCCTGCAGAGACATGAGACTGAAAAAAAAATCTGATACATTTCTTAGACCTAAGCAGGAGCATGAAAATGCAACTATGTCTATGGCAGGAATCGAATCTGCGACCCTGCGATTCCAGTGAAGCGTTCTAACCAACTGAGCTACCGAGAGAGACAGTTGTCGAGCTCTAACCACAAGTGCATGCATAAATAACTGAGGTGATGGCAATGTATAATAAGGTGTATGGGTAAATATTGGGGTTTTGGGCATCACAACACAAGTTCTGATTTTTTTTCTTATTATAAACATAATGGTTCTCCTTAAATTTTACGAGCTCTATTCAGATATACTTCTCAGATCATGTTATACCTTCAATCGCACTCCATTTAAAAGCAACGTGTACCCATGTGCGAGCGACAAGTTTTGACGTGATTTTCCATGTATATTTCAACGTGGAAATCTCAATCACGAATAACTTATTGCTAACTGTAAACTTGATCCCAGGCCCTTTATCACCAACATTGTACACGCCAGCGCAGAGTATGAACTCGCCGCCAATGTAATACAGCCAGAAAGATATTGTGAATCCATTACGACATTCTGACGGCATGTTTGTACAGTCATCGTTCAAGAGCGCTGAAAAGACAAAAATGGAAAGTATAAGTTGTGTAACATACCAAAAGACCCCTACGACAACGTACAAGTTGTTGCAAGTCTGCAAACAAGTTGTTACAAATCTGTTCACAAGCTGTCGACAAGTTGTGTTCGCACTGCTTGTTCCCAGTTGTTGTAACAAGTTTGGAACAAGCTGTTAACAACTTGTAACAAGCTTCATGGCATCATCAGACTTGTTACGAGGTTGTTCTAACAAGTCTGATACAGTCATGATATAACAAGAATGTTACAAGGTTGTTTTAACAAGTCTGATACAGTCATGATATAACAAGAATGTTACAAGGTTGTTCTAACAAGTCTGATACAGTCATGATATGACAAAAATGTTACAAGGTTGTTCTAACAAGTCTGATACAGTCATGATATAACAAGAATGTTACAAAGTTGTTCTAACTCTGATACAGTCAAGATATAACAAGGTTGACAACACAAGATTGTACCTGTTGGATCAACCTTGCAACAAGTCTGAGAATGACATCAAGCTTGTTACAAGTTGTTATAACAGCTTGTTCCAAACTTGTTGACAATTTGGGACAACACAACATGTTGACGGCTTGTTGGCAGACTTGCTACAAGATGTGAGATTATGTGCTTGATTTACATAGTACAACTCAAGTTGTAAGAAAGTTGCATGCGACAGTTTTAGACAAAAGTTGTGTAGCTAGTGTAAATCGGCCGTCACAATTCAACGTTGTAAGAAGCAACGATATTATACCAACCCAAACGAATCCAATCATCCTCTCCATCTAAAATTACAGCAGGACCAAAGAGCTTCGTGTTGTTCAATTGCGCACCATTCATGATATCACCATGCATGTAATCGACTGTATCCAAGCTGGTGTTGTCTGAAATATTCTTCATTGGCCAATAGTGATCAGCGCTTTCATAGATCGAAGTAAAACCTTGGCCTAGAATGATGGACATAAATGAAACCTGGTTTACACTACCAAAGTTTCTGTGATCACAGTAAGAATTTTGCATGGGTAAATTCTAAGTTTTGAAGGATTTGTAAGAAATGTTTGAGGAAACTGACTCATGCAGTATTTAACACGAAGTCAGTTTTTTCAAACATTTCTTACAAATCCTTCAAAACTTAGAATCTACCTATGCAAAATTCCTACTGTGGTCGGAGAAACTTTGATAATTGCAAATTAGGCTTAACAATTGAAAAGGATTTCCGAGGAACATTATTAGTGAAGACATGCGCCTAATAAATTATAGTTCCCTTGAGCATTCTAGTACGCCGTAGTTGTTCGTACTGCTACGTTATTCACATGATTTTCACGGCATTATAACCACGTTCTAGTTTAGAGGATATTACACGGCGGCGCGAAGATATGACTTTTATCTTGGAGTGGTGAAATATTTTACGAACGAGCGCATCGAGTGAGTAAAATATTGTTTTTAACACGAGAAGATAAAAGTCATATCTTCAAGCCACCGTGTACGTGTAATGTTCTGTTTATTATATAGTCCCAAGCAAAAAAATTGTGAAATTTCACGCTCAAAAGCAAATGAAAAAGTCACGTGATCGATATCTTCACTAGTGAAGATATGGAAAATATCTCACTGTGTATTTTTCAGTATCTCACTCTCTACTATATAATAAATGATTTTATCGACTATTTCCACTTAAGTGTTGTTCAAAATAACGATAAGCTCTTTCAAGAGGCAAATAAAGTTTTGTAATGTACGCGGCTTCGCTTTTGGCTCAAATATACAAAATGGAAGTAACTTTGTTCTGGGAGGAGGGCTGGGGCACCATTCAGAAATTTTGGTTGGATCCGGCTTAATCTTACAGCAATAAGCCATTCAAAGCATTTAGTGAAAAATCAAAGCCAACTATAATTGCCACACACTTCGATCTTGGCACAATACCTTTATTAAAACCTCCCTATGTAAACCAGCATTACGACACAGTTCATTAGAAAATAAACCCGCGATGACATTAAATTAATAACTGGATCTCCCACATAGGGAATAATTACCCATTATTTAGTATCTATACAGTATCGCAAATTGCAGCGTACGAACCAATGGGGCAACGGTGTGAAATAGAAAGCTCTTCGCATGATTCATGATTAACGTACGCGGGGGAAGGCTGAATATGTATGCATGCCTGTAGTTAAATGAGTCACTTCGTTTAAACGTTTTGTTGACGAGACGAAACATCCACGCGAAGAAATTATTATCATCCATCTTGCTTTAGTTCCGATTTGGTCAAAACTGCAAGCGAAAGTGGCCTGGAGGTTAGCTGAATTTCCCTTAAATCGCCTGAAGGCATAACTGTTAAATTAAATTCACCAAGTTCCTTTAAATCGCGTTATATCTGGGCAAGTTGTCTTGCAAACTAAGTGGGCTTCGGATTGATAGGGATATAATTACCTGAAAAATACAAGGAGAACTTCGGTCGACGTTTCGAGCGAAGGCCCTTGCCCTTGCCCTTGGTCGAGAAATTGGCAGAGGTGGTAGTGTACTGTACTGACTTCCTGACAAATTAGGGCCTTCGCTCGAAACGTCACTGGACGTTCCCCTTGTATTTTTTCAGGTCAAATTACTCGTTTTAGCAACATGATAATCTGTCTTGACCTTTTCATGACAATTTATAGGATCACTTATATAACAACATATTCCCAACATATTTCATTATTTTTCCCAGAAGACCTAGATTTCTCTTTGCTTTGGAACTCATGAACAGTCAGTCTCCCTAATTTTTAGCACCAGTGGTTGGAATGGCAGCATATGATTTTTTGACCGGGAGGTTTAATAAATTTTCGAAACATGCCTCCCGGGAAAATCGGGAGAGCTGGCAGTGTGCATGACACAAGTCAAAACACGTAGAAATTGATTTCAAAAAGTCTTAAAAGTGTCTTTATTCGTGTAAACACCTTGAACTTTAGCGCTCCATGTCGCCTTATTAACTCTGTTATGCTCGAAATTAATTTTCAATAGCTCTCCGAGTTTAATAAAAGCCCCTTGTGAATAACTGACTACAAAATTACCAAAGACGCTTAATATCTCACCGACTACAAAGAAGACTTTAGATTAAATTTATTGACTCCTATCTGTCGCAAAATTACAGCCTTCGGTTTGGGAAAACACGTTCATCTCTTCTCGGCAACGAAGAAGACAAGCTATCATATAGCAGACAAACACACTTAGCTGTTAGGGATTACGTTTTTTACATTAACCATTAAACATGTTAGAAATATGCAAGGTTCTATTAGTACACTTATATGAGATGGAGGCGAACAGCGAGCCATATCCCACTAACATCGCAGCATGACGGAGTCAACCTTCATTTCAAGGTCAAACGCGATAAATTTAGTCACATATATGCAGCCTTTAAATATTAACTCTCCACTTTAAAAATACTGTTATTACTTTTCCAAAATGCCAATTTTCTTACGCGGAGAAATTTAATAACGCGCTTACAAATGAGTCGTCTGAAGCTACTTAATTTGTGGGCAAACAAGCGTTGCCAACTGCCGACTTTCCCCGCCCAACAATATACCCAATGGATGTCAATTTTGACAGTTCTGTCGCAAATGTTCATCGAAAACATTTTTCAAAATTTGTTCGCAAACTCAAATACTAGATATGAACCGACACGAGAGGTCTTTTACCGTTTTTCCTCGTGCAGTAGCCTGGATTTTTAGCAAGAAAAGCGACCTTGCTGATTTTTCGCCGCAAACTAATCTCTTCAAAAGTTAAGCGCATTAATAAGTATTGTAGCGATTACGGGCACGATATCTTCACATTACGAGAATAAAATGAGTTTAAAATGTTATCAGGTTATTTTTACTTACTTTGATTTACACAAATGAACAGGTACACCAAGACAAGCTTCAATTTTCGAACTCTTCGCACGGAGCCTTTGGCTTGCGTCGCCATCTCGATCAAAATGTTTTCTAACATTGCTCGCGTGATTAATTATTGAGAAAGGAGAAGGACGATGCAAAATTATTCGCTGCTCCTAACCAACAATACATACACTCTGCGGCTTTAATATTAAACTACCTTTGTCATGAACCCCGTATTTATACGGATGGAGTTATTCTTAGCCACCGCAGAGTGCCCTAATCAATTTAGCGGCAGTGGAAACTATACGCGGGTGGGGAACGCTGCATAAATTATTAAGAAAAAGGCAAAATTCTTGTGGATCATTTTAATTTTTAGGCACTCTTTGCTAATTCAGTTGGCTTTACTTCGTTGATGAGTTGGTATTGATTAAGAGACTTTGATCGTCGAAGTCCCTAAATGACTATTTTTTACATATAACATTTTTGTAGATCATATCAGATCTATCTTAGAAATTTCTAGATTATATATATATATATATATATATATATATATATATATATATATATATATATATATATATATATATATATATATATATATATATATATATATATATATATATATATATATATATATATATATATATATATATATATATATATATATATATATATATATTATATATATAGTGATTCAGCGTTGGACTTGTACTCTCAATATAGCGCTCTCTAGATTACAAAGATTTATTATATTTTGAGCAATAAATTGAATCTTATTTTTTCCGACAATACTGCAAAATACTAATAGTTCGGTTGCTTGACTTAAAACAGATAGTATAATACCGAGACTGATATCACAATTAAAAAATACAAACTCCAAATAACGTGGATAATGATATTGCCAACTAAGTAAAGTTTCCAAATTTTTATCAAGGCTGCTTACGCGAACTGAAGACAACTGTACAGCAACGAGTGTAACCATAGACATTATGCCCTCTCGATTGTCTATTCTTTACCAGAAGGAAATTCTGAGAAATATATAAGTGTAAAATGCATTCTGTGAAAAGTAACATGTTCAAAACACAAAGACGGTATTTCGACCCAGGTCATGTTTTTCAGATCTAACTAATTTCTGGTCGGTTGGTCCAGCATGTTGAAGCAACATTATCTAATGTTGGGTAATGTTCGTTCAACGTAAGGTTGCGGTTTAACTTCATTCAAAATTATCATCCAACATCGATCGTGGAACATCGTGGGATTAAAAATATCGGAATGTGGAATGAATATTAAAGGCTTGTTCAGTTACACTATCAAAGTTTCTGTGATCACAGTAGGAATTTTGCACAAAATTCCTACTGTGATCAAAACTAGCCTTAATAATTCTGCTAGTTAGTTTCGAACATCACGTCAATCTTTGAACAATAATTTATATATGGAACAATTGACTATATCATGTCCATTAACAAGATTTTTCCGAGTTTCTGTACCTAAAAGACCGTGACTTTAAAAACAAATTTGTTTTTTGTCTGCAAAAGAACCGCAAATTAATTAGAGGTCGTCGAGTCAAAGCCGATAGAGTTGGCAAACTAATTTGTTTACTTTGACTTTATTCTTGCACCGTAAGCGAAACGACATGTTCATAACATCTCGCCATAGGAAATTCACAGTCAAAACACTGTTCAAACCAATCCAGCATTGTCTAATATTGTTGCCAAAATTCTTAATCAACTGCTCTATATTGATCTATACGTAACTTCATTGTGGTTTTTCTGTGACAATTTCATGAAGTACAATCCTTGCTTATTACGTCATAGAACTTTCCCAAAATAGCATAACCTCGTTCCAGGCCTTTTATCGCGCGATTATGGTAAGTACACCTTTTCCGAGTTGTGTTGAAATATAGTTGAAAAAGCCGTCAAAATATTAAAAGCATTGTTGCACCTTTTATATACTGTATGCATGTTGTTAACCATACTGTATGTACTGGGTATGGGGCGACTTTTTTGCCCCACCCCCCTCCGCTCGCAAATATTTTGTAGTGACGAGGTCTAGCGCCGCCCCTGCCAGGGTCTCCATTTCCGCTTTTGCCCAAACATGTTGGATCCAGCGTATTTGGGAGGGAAGCGGAAGTAGAGAGCCTGGCTGGAGGTTGCTTGCTTATATAAAGACGAAAAATAAAGAAAAAATACATGTGTTCGTTCGCGGGTACGTCTGTTTCTAATACACTATCAGGCCTTAAAATATCTTTTCCAGGGCCGTCTGACAAAATGTCCGGTGACGTTGAGTTTGGGTCGGACATATGTCCGATGACCTTCAGTTCAGTTTTGACTCGGAAATAAGTCTGAGTGCCGACACAAATGAATAAACGGTAAATGTTGTAAAGATATTAAATAATTTGTTTCTTTCATACTTATTTCCAAGACAAAATTAACTTGATTGCCAGTACAGCAGTGTTAAAAAAGACTTCGACAACTTAAACCCGTTTTCCACTTCACCATTTCGCTCGCCGCCCCGCGCTCGACTACGTTAAAACAACATTTCCAGTTGACCTTTTATACAATAATACTCTGATTTTCCATTTAACATACAAGCCTCTAGTCCTGGGCTAGGGTACATTTTGATTTACGTCGGACAAAGCTACAGTACGGTCGGACACCAATTTACTTGGGTCGGACAAACAATAAACCTCAGTTTCACTTTGGTCGGACAGAATGTCCGGTGGTTTCCTCTCTACATCGGACAATTTCATGAATGGGTCGGACAATGTCCGTGACCGACCGATATTTTAAGGCCTGCACTATACCTGTTAATGTATTCAGTAACTATATGTGTTGTTTTTACTGCCGAAATTTTACATACGCAGTAGATCGAAGCGGTTGAGAAGCAGTTTTACGAACCAGGAACGAAGTCTTCGCAAACTTCAGAATTAAGGTACTGTATGTCTGTCATGTCTGTGGTGTATAACGAAATCGAAACATAGCAATATTGTGGTACTGTAACATTATTGCAATTCATTTTTCTTTAGGGATATGGAGCTTTGCAACCTCGTACCCAGGCAATTTTCTCTCACAGTCTGGTGACACGGCCACCTGCTGAGACACCCTGGTGGTGTCTGGTCACGTTTCACTAGGGAAAAATAAAAAAGCATTTGAGAGATTTCACGTAAATACATATTTAGTATCTAACTATGTTGCACTAGAGATAAACGGCTTTTTCTCGATGAAACCCTGTTAACTAATGTCAAATAATGTCAAGTAATCAAAATTAACGCTGTCAAAATCTGTGATGAGCTAGTACGAGTGTATGACGGTATGACTGCATGTGCATATGCACTTGCACACAAAATGTGTTTGAGACAGAATATCCAACTTCAAAGCATACGATTTTATTTGTTTCTTGACTTGACTGTTAATAAAATGCTAGAGTGTTTTTCAATTTTTGTAATTTATTTCTAGTAATTGAAATTTAACGTAATTTGATATTTTGCCTCTCCCCTTAGTCTTAGGCAATTAACTTTTGTAGAGTCGCGTGACCAGACACCACCAGGGTCTTTCCCAAAATCCCAACCACTTCAAAAACCCAAATGCAAACCCATAGAAATAATGGATATTATAAACTATCTATTATTTCTATGACATATATGTGCTGGGTATTGGCTGTTTGAATAGCGCACATTAGCACGGTTCGTTCGGCACGTACCTGTTAATATATTCAGTAACTATGTTTTGTGTTCACGGCGGAAATTTTGCTTAGATTGAAGCAGACTTACGAATCAGGAACGAAGTCTTCCCAAGAACTTCAGAATTAAGGTACTGTACGTCTGTGGTGTATAACGAAATCGAAACATCGCTATATTTGTGGTACAACTAATTTTTCTTTAGTTTAGGGACATGGAACTTTGTCTTTCAATATACACATAAAATATTCATCACTGCCTCAAAAGGCCTGCTGAAAATCCATCGCAAATTTAAATCTTTCCGAGATTTTGTAGTCTATATTCTCGATAAATTTTCACGCGGTAAATGTAGGCAGTCTGTAGGTTATCTATAAATCATTGTTATATAGTTTGAAGATCCTCCTTGCCCGAAACTAACGGTTGTGAACTAACGACTTTATCTGTATTTCTAAAAGAACAGCTTCAAAAATTATCTCTGATTACCAACCTTTCATGCACAGGAAAAAGTAAAGATAATACTCAATGTTTTAACAGTTTTAACGTTCATTTCTAAAACTCTTGTAGATAAAAAAATCCGGCAATGTTCACTGACGAGGCCGCAGGATCTACTTTGGAAGGTGCAAATTTTTCTTATATTGAATTTGAAGCTGATGATTGGCCAAAATGGAGAACAAAGGGTGCAAAAAGTCCTACTGTGATCAAAATGATCGAAGAAATTGTGGAATACCAAAATTCCTGGAAAGAGCAGAAGGAATCTATCGACGAAGAATCCGCAAAAAAGGTGCACGATAAATGTTTAACAGAATTTATTTACCGCATGAACATCGGGGAAAAGCATGGATGCAATACCAAGGAAGACGTTGAATCTTGCCTTAACATTGATCCAACTTCTAACAAGCCGTTATCCACAGAGGTTCGGGAAACTGTAAACGTAATAGAAGCTTATAAATATTTTCTGAACGAAGTGAAGAAGGTTGAAGATGACGCTGAGGGCGATGATGCCAAAGCATTGCACGGGTTACTAACTCTAGAAATGGTTAAGGAAGCACACAAGCTGATTTTGAAAGATATTGAGTTATCTGATGGCAAAACTAAGCCTGGTGAATTTAGCAACAAGAAGCGATATACAGAATATAATGGAGAAACGTATGATTACCGAAATCCGGGGAATATGGAAAAAGAAGTACAAAAATTCCTGGATATATATAATGAATTGATAGATGACCGTGTAAAAAAAGAGAAAATTCCGACAAAAAGTGTTTATAATATGTTCAAGATTTGTGGCTGGCTGTTATTTGAACTCCTGGACTTGCATCCCTTCAGCGATGGCAACGGAAGATTGTGTCGATTACTTTGTAGTTATGCATTGTCTTCAGTGACACCATTTCCCACCCCGATTTATAATGTTTGCAGTGAATCAAAGAAAGATGATTATATCGACGCTTTGGTAGAAGCAAGGAAGTCCAAAACCCGTCATCCCACCAGTTTGACCACAATGATTATTGACTGCAATTATCATGGTTGGCGGAAATTTTTTGACATTCTCGAGAGAAGTCGTAATGAAGAAGTGGATATTCCAGTTGAAAACAGAGGTTAATTGTGACTTGGGATGCCTGTGCGCCAGGTGCGTGACAATATAGACAACATAATCCTAGAAGTTACTATCGCAAGGAAAGTGCTGCCAAAAGAAAAAGATAATTAGAATATTATTTGCATGCATATCACAATATGTAATTATTCCTAAACATGTTTCATGATATAGTGAATAAAGTTTCTTGTTTTAAATCACAATAAAAACAATGGCTTCCCGGCTTTGTCGTCGCAGATAATGATGTTACTGAAGAATTAAAAACTTCTAGTGAAAACTTGAACACTAGAAAAAGTACAAATTTATTGGTTGGAGTATTTAAGAAATGAGCAGCATTAATTAGGCTAATTAAAGAACACCGCAGAAGACTTGGAAGACATAGGAGGTTCAAGAACTTGACAAGTTCACAATTAACTTACGAATAAATTTTGCCCTCTATGATTAACAAGTAATCGCATAGTTCCTCGTAAAATTAAGGTTTGATTTCACTTGTTTTCAAAGTTTCACAAATTGCCCGAAATTGAAAACACATGTGGAATTAAACCTTAATTTTACTCGGCCCCATGCGATTACCTATACTAATTATTGAAAAGGTGTATTATTTAAAACAAAGAGAAATAAAACATGTTAATATTATGAATGCCATAACTCCACTCAGTTTGTCTTTAATATCACTTACTCCCTAAGTGACTACTGTTACACTACATTCGCACAAGACTGGATGTACTCAGAACTGTTCACATATTCATGGTTACTACAATACAATCTAAATTTCAATATAGAGAAGTTATTCTGCCTTGTCATGGGTATCCACGTGATTCTCCAGTTCTTCCAAAGTGACAAAAGCGACACTACACAACGAGCAGATGAAACTAATTTCATTTGGTTCTGTTGTGTCTAACTGTTTACACAGGGCACACTGGTATGGGATGCCGTGTTCGCTTGCCTTGTGTTGTATCAAATATTTCACATCAGAGAACTGTCGATTGCACAGATGAACATCGCAGTTAAAGCGAGATTTTGCTTTGGCGTGTTCTTGCAACTCCTGCATCTGATCCACGTTATCTTTCCCACACGTGATACACAAATGGAATTTCTTGTGTTGCTTCATATTATTTTTATTTGCATACCTTTTCTTGCAAATATCACATTCATAAGGCTTATCAGCATTGTGTGACGATTTTTTATGTCTGTCTACGAGGTGCGATCGTGAAAATCGTTTCTTGCACACATCGCATTCAAAAGGTTGATCACCAGTGTGTGTTTTCTTATGCACCTGTAGATTGCTGATTTCCGAGAATCTTTTGTCGCACGTGTCACATTTGTACGGTTTTTCCCCACTATGTGTTCGTTTATGCGCTGCTAATCTGTTTGATCGTAAAAATTGCTTCTTGCAAACGTCACATTCGAATGGTTTGTGTCCGGTGTGTGTTGGTTTATGTGCATTTAGATTCTTTTTTGTTGAAAACTTTTTGTTGCAAGCGTCGCATTCATAAGGTTTGTCTGCAACATGAGTAGTTTTGTGCGCTGTCAGGGCGTTTGAGCGTGAAAACCGTTTCTTGCAAACGTCGCATTCGTACGGTTTCTCGCCAGTGTGTGCTCGTTTATGTATAGTCAGATCACTGATTATGGAATATCTCTTGTGGCAAACGTCACATTCATGAGGCTTTACACCAGTATGCGTTCTCTTATGTCTGACCAAATCGCTCGAAAAGATGAATCGCTTGTCGCAAATGTCGCATCCATGTGGTTTATCACCTGTGTGTATTTTCTTATGTCTAGCCAGGTTGCTTGGGTCGGAAAATTTCTTCTGGCAAACGTCACATTCGTGATCTTTTGCACCAGTATGTGTTCGTTTATGCCTAGCTAATTTGCTGGCCGCTGGGAATTTCATCTGACAAACCTTGCATTCGTAAGATTTGCTGTCGGCATGTGCTGCTGTCGGTGCTAACAAGTTCTCTGACACAGATAGTTCCACTTCAAAAACATCGCATTCAAAATTAAGTTGGTTTTGGCCATCATTCGTTTCTGTGACGTTGCTGGATCTGGGAACTTCATTTTCACTATGCCCATTTTTATGAGAATTGTCAGCAGCGTGCGTTTCTTCATGAACTACCAAATCAACTCCATCGGGAAATTGTTTGTTGCAAATATCACCATGACAGTTAGGGTTAACAGTGTCCTCAGTATGTGCAATTTTTTGTCTTGCCAAGTCTCTTAATCTTGGAAATTCCATCTCGCAATTCACACATTCAAATATTTATATCTGCTGTATCTTGGTTTTTATATTGTACTAGCCACCTATGCAATCAGCAAAAGATAGAGGTTCTTATGACCTTATTGATTGATACGCATTAGATTGGTATTGATTAATATTTGCAAAACTCCCCAATCTTATGCATGACAATCTTTATTTCTGGACTGTTGATGAGAAGTCTACAGATGATGTTAACAAGTCAATGAATGCCTGGTACTACCAATGAATACCAATCAAATTACATGTTAAAAAGTTAGGAACCTTCAGAAGGTCGACTTCTTGGTTTTGGCTATGATTTTGGCATAACCGTTGCAATGCTGTTGCCATGGTTCTAGCCAGTGCACTTAGGCCAAATAAAAAAATACTTGGTTAGCATCACAGCCCGCCTCTCGATTTTCTGCCGCCTCTGAATTTATTATTTTTTTTTTAATGTAAATCTCTTCGTTTTACAGCTTAAAACATTTTAATATTTGAAATTTTTCTCATGCTCAGACCTTCGCGCTATATACTGATCGATAGGAGCGCGTAGGCTTGGGTATACAAGGTTCTTAAAGCAAAATGGCGGCCTTTGCAACATTAGTACAAAAAATATCACCGATATGGTGGAAAAACTGCCCCCCATCCCCTCCAAAAATACTATTAAAAAATTAAAAATAGGTACGCAATGCGTAAATGTGGCTAGCCTGGTAAACTTTAACTCCCCAAACCCTCCTCCAAACCCAGAAAGCCTGCCATGCTGGTTAACTTTAATAGTAATAAGAAGACATACCACGATGGTCAGAATGCACAAATTTTCTCCCACTTGTGCGGGCTCATTTTGTCAGTGGAGTTTCACGGTATACTTGAAAAATACCGTGTCACTCTCCTCGCTTCCCATGTAAATAGCGAATTCATGAATAACACTTGAATAAACACAAATATGTGAATTTGCACGCCAGGCTTTTGAATATAACGATTGTAAAAAGTTTCCGTGTGATCTATTAGCAATTTAAAAGATACCTAAACTGTAATACTGCCATATATTTAATCTCGCGTTTGTTATTTGCGCAGCAGCAGTTTTGCCGTGGAATTAAAATTGCGTGTCATATGATATTTTTAATAGGCAAATAGCGTTTGAGATATAGCAACATTAGCAAACAAATACATTGAAATCTTGGTTAGCACACTAACTTTTACCACTTTTAATGCAATATTACTAAACTGTAATACTGCCATATATATTTAATCTCGCGTTTGTTATTTGCGCAACAGCAGTTTTGCCGTGGAATTAAAATTGCGTGTCATATGATATTTTAATAGGCAAATAGCGTTTGAGATATAGGCCTAGCAATATTAGCAAACAAATACACTGAAATCTTGGTTAGCACACCAACTTTTACCACTTTTAATGCAATATTAGTCAACTTATAAGAGAATGTGAGACAAATCATGCTGAATTATTCGACTATATAACTGCTAAGACAGACAGACGCAATAATCCTTTATAGGTTTATTACAAATATGTAGACATTTGAGACCCCGTCAATGTCTGAAGAAAAGGTATACTTAAAGCCTTTAAATAAACGAGTTTGATGCACAGTTTCTGGTCTTTTACCATAATTATCCAATGCTGGTTTTATTCGCTGCATTATAAACCTCCTCCACACAATACCCCTTCTTTAAAATACCAAACATTTCGAATGCAATTGAGATCTATGAAATCTCAACAAGAAGACAATTCAAGATGGCAAATACGCGAGTACGCACAATTTCTGATCAGTTTCGACACCATAGGTTGAAGCCATGAAGATAAACTTTATTTTAATTTTCTGGTTTAACAACCTCACTAGTACTGCGTCGTAACAACATCACTAGTATTGCCTCGAAATGCAAATGTGAAATGTCGGCAGAAAAATACGGGCGCTTCCGATTGCTCCCGATACTTTACGAAAATCCGGACTGGACACCATGATCATCATCGCTCATCGCGTTTGTGTATGTGTATGTGATAGTGGCTCAAACGGGCTAGCCAAAAAAAACGAGTAAAAATTTAATAAAAAAATCCGCCCGCCCGCCTCTGAAAATTTGTGAGAGTGTGACGCTATAAACCAAGTGTTTTTTTTTTTTATTTGGCCTTATGGGGCATTTGCACCCCCCTGAAAATATTCAAAATGGTAGACATTCAGGGGGTGAATGCCTCTCATAACCTCACTGGCTAGGAACACGACGAGTGCATTTTGATGACAAACATTCTGTTGCAGCAGTTATGCTTTCTTTGCCGAGTCGACCTTTTGTAAGGTCCCTAAGCTATAGGACGAGCTATAGGAGCTTTTTATACGGAAAACTTACCACAGAACTAGGATATTTACACGCTGTCGGTTATAACACAATTATTCTAGTCTTTTGTTCGATTGTGACAGAGTTTCCACGCGATGAAAGCATTTGTTTTTGATGAAATTTATCCCAAAAGAGAACAAAACATCTCAACAACAAAAAACATGGCGTCGCATTCATGCTGTGCTTCCACTTGCACAACACCATATTTCACTTCCTCCAGAATTGCAAAATTTCCTTTCGGAACGGGAGGGGTGGATTGAAGTTGAGGGGGGGGGGACGGAGTTGGCTTTTCTCCCTTACAAGGTTGGTTACGTAGCCTGGCATTCACATTAGAGAGGTCATCATCTACCTGTATACTATGCAGGCTCGTGGTTGGTTGATTATAACAATGAAAGGCAATAAAACTATAGAAATCGTCTTTCTAAAGAACGAGTCACGAACAATGATCATTTTTGTTTCTGAAAGCCAATCAAAAAACAGGATCATTTTAGGCAGGTCTTTACCCCATTAGAGAAAGAGGATTTTATTTTAAGGAAGGTCTCACATAAACCATCAACTGCCTGGCAGTTGCGACTCGTTCATCAGATATTTAGATTCATTGTAAATTCAACCGTTTCTATTTAGTCACGCTGCATGGGTTCCGAGTGATCACAAAACCATCCTGAAACCATGCAAGTTGTGGACCATTAGTTTCTGCTGAGGTCTACACGTAGGCTACGTACATGCGACTCCCTAGTTCCTTACTGATAACTCTTGGAGTTACAATCAAACTTCAACTTACAGGCAAGTCTCGTTTAATTTTTAAATTCTAAGTTTTGAACGCTTTGCAAGAAATGTTGGAGGGAACTGTTTTAAAAGTTTGACAAATCCTTCAAAACTTAGAATTTAAAATTTACCTATCACAGAAACTCTGATAGTATAAACCGGGCTTAATTAACAAGAGTATACTGATAAAATGCACACAAGAATTTCCAAATACTGTCACAGTCAGGGGTGTGTTTAATCGTCCATGCAAGCATGGCAACAATCAGTTACACAATACAACATATTTAAGGAAACAAACTTTACCAGTTTCCGCAGTTAGAATTTTGTTTAACCATATTCTTGATTGGATTTAAAATGGAATCAGAACCAATACCAATGTGGTCGGATAGACAACGAAAGCGTTTGGGTATCGAAAAGAACCTTCTTGAGGACTATTTTCCTGCTCGCACTAATTGGACCAATAGTACGAATGCAACCAAAACGAAAGTGGACATTGCTTTGAATACAAACGATAAAACTGAGTATATTCTTCGTATTCATCTGACACAAGATTTTCCAAATGCATGCCCGATGCTTACTGTCGTGTCTCCAATGTTGAAATCAAGAAAGGGAGACCGTTTTCCGGAGTCAAGCACTGAATTCCACACGTTACAAAACATCGAGGGGTACCCGACTGTGTGTCATTTTCACCCGGAATCGTGGACACAAGAGAACACGTTATATCAAGTGTTCATGAAAGGCAGGTTGTGGCTCGAAGCTTATAGTCTGTACCACAGCACAGGGAAAATAATGGATACATTTCTGAAAGAGTTTGACAGCGCACCGGAGCCGGAAGTAGTTCCGGCTGAGAAAAAGAGATCCAAGTCTCGGCTTCGTAGTATATTGCGACGGCGATAAATATCTAGACATTATACATGAACAATAATATGCATCATATACTTATAAACTTGCAACTATTTCAATGGCATGTTCTTTATGTATTGGCAGTATTTTATATCATGTATTGATGTATTCAGTGACTACTTGGGGAGTGTAAAATTTCCCAAATTTTATATATCTTTTCTCACCTCCTAATTTTTATAATAATACTTGTGGGAAGCAGGGAGTACAATACCATTACAGAGAATCGATCATTAGTTAGACTAGAGTTAAACTAGTCATCACTGTCGAGAATTTTTAAAAAAACGCGATACGAGCCCTCGATACTTTGCATGTAAAATTACCATAAGCGTACCGGGCGGGGGGGCGGGGGGGGCGGTAGCCCCCCCAGTTTTTTGGACAGTCGGGCAATATTCGATTAACAGTCGGGCAATTTTGGGTTGTTATAAAAAAAAATCGGGCAAATTATGTCATTTTTTTCGAAAATTTAGTCAATTTTGTGGCAAATGTAGTGTTTTTGGAAAATTTATGTTATCCTCCGAAAATTTTTTGACCCCTTAAATGGTACACTGACCGAAATTTTTTTGGCGATGGGGGGGGGGGAGAGGTCGCCAAAAAAGATTTTCCGGGGAAAATTTTTTGGTACTAGTCGGGCAAAATCACGAAAAGTCGGGCAATTTTACGAAAAGTCGGGCAATTTTCTTTCCGCCCCCCTAATTTTTTCCTTCCGGTACGCCCATGAAAATTACAGACTGCAGAAGATCAAATTTTGTGAGAATGGTAAATTTGTAATCTATAATATAAAAATGTAAATTCAGTTGTACACTTTATAAAATATGAGAAATTGCATATCTTGTATTATGTTGTGCAATGATGTGGTGAAATTTTTCTTGCCTGCAGCCAACTGAACCAAGTTTTGCCTGCCATCATAGACAATCCAGATATCTTCTGGATTGCCTGTGCTGCCTTCTAAAGGCGACACGATTGCCTGATGAAATCTAATTAAATCAGTTTAATGAATTATTAATGACTCGGAGTCCTGGAATTAAATTAATATATTTTGTTGAAATAAAACTTCAACATATTTTGCATTTTTTTCATCTATCAAAAACCAATATGAAACGTTTAATTTCCTAACATGAATGATTCGTAATGGTTCATCTTAATAAGTGTATGTTTGTTCAATATGCTATGAAAATATATTTACTGTTTGAATATAAATCTTTAGGACATAAGTATGGTAATATGCGTATTTTAAAAATGAAAAAAAATAACAATGTTGAAGTTTGCATACAAAATGACACTTTATCATTTGCAGTCAACTTTAAAGGAGGAAATTTTGAGCCGATATCACGATTTGGTCAGCGCCATGAACATAAAGCGATCCTTTCTTCAAGAGAATAAATTCCTTGTTTAAGGAAGTATTTCTATTCCATATTTCGACGTTTAAAATCACGGAGAAAACGATACCTTGGACTTCCTAATGTCCCGATATACCTCACCCCGTTTTACCTTCTACCAAGGACATTATCACCGTCATCAATCGTATTCTGGTTTATACTACGCAAAACCAAACATGGACATTAGTGAATTTGCATAGGCCATGGGTTTCACATTTGGATGAGGCTAAAATAAAATAGGATGAGAGGTAAGGTTTCTAAATGAAGCTGCAGTGTACATTGTAGCATAAGCGGATTTTCTGGGGAAGGGTGCAGGGGGAACATTCGTCCTGCAACTCTGAGCCCTCAATTATATTTTATGAGTAATCATTCTTAACACACTTACCACGGCATCGTATGTTGTAAAATTCGGTTTTAGATCTGACCCCATTGTGATGAAAGCGCCTTTGTTTCCCATTTGATCACTGCATTTTCAAAAATGAAGAAATAGGTTATGACATGGTTCATAGGTAGGCAGGCAGATAGTTAGGTAGTTAATTTGTTTAGAAAGCTTACCAGTAATTAGGAGCGGAGAACACAGTAACACATTGTCCGTCGTGTGCCACTTCATAACCCTCGGCTTTAACTTCGTGACTCCGTATTACATATTCTGAAATAAAAATTAGGTTTGAAGGATGCAATAGTAAGATTTTAATTTTAATTCTTAAAAAATCGGAACTTGAACTCCACCTGTTGTATGAAGGTGTGCGAGTTAATACAGTGCTAAAGCTATACAAGCAAATAATTACCTAAATTATTCAAGCTACAAAATTCATTCGTCACGTCTGGTCCAAACTGGATAGCCACTCCTCTTTTGCTAGCAGATCTACCGTTCTGAAAATAAAGCAACGTGACTGTTAATGACATTGAAAGGAACTTCGAAACTGTGATGTAAGGTCGTGTAATGGTGTACAGATAGGCAAAACTTAAAACTTTACCTGTGGTTGAGGATCAGACCATAAAAGTTCACACATGACACCTGTTGAAAGCAAGGATATCCTTATTGGCAGCCTGACAGTACGACGAACTAAACTAAACTAACTTTATTTATGCTTAATAGCTATATCACTTCTAAACTGTTCTCCCTGGAGGTCTAGTAAGGATTATCTCTTGTTTATCCAGGGTTACTACAGGAGGAAACTTAAACTAAGTAACATTATTTATACTGGATAGCTCTATCATTTCTAAACTGTTATCCAGCAAGAGCTCCAGTAAAGTGTCATTATTTATTGATGCTTTGCTACTACAGGAGGAAACCTAAACTAAACTAACTTTATTTACTGGACAGCTCTATCAGTTCTAAACTGTTCCCCCTGGAGGTCCAGTAAAGATCATCTCTTATTGATCCAGCGTTACAACAGGAGGAAACCTCACCTGAACTAGCTTTATTAACACTGAATATCTCTATCGCTTCTAAACTGTTCTCCCTGGAGGTCTAGTAAGAGTCGCCCTATTCGATCTAATGTCATACTTCAGGAGGAAACCTGGGAAAAACCAACGGAGTTTAATAGGGTCAAAGTAACATTCTTATACGCGAGACGAGGGCATTTTGAATGATTTTAGCTCCTGATTTGCATTCCCAGAGATATTTTATAAATTTCCAATTGTTCTTGCCTTGTTCGGGTGGTTGTCTGTTCCTATCAATCTTTCTTATTTCATCCAAAGTTACGTCATTGCGAGTGAATAAACCGCCATGCATTACCTAGAAAATGAAATGATAGGTCTTACTGAAGGACTTTTCAGACGAGGCAATATCTGCACTTCACATACCATAACTTTACTATTGATAAGATGAGCCAATGGTAGCCAGTTGTAAACCTCTGTGAAAAGTTCGATCATATCCGAAGAATATATTTGATAAGTTAAGAAATTCCTTACGACGTAATTGTTCATTTCATTTTGTCGCTATTGATGAAAAAATCAATTATAAAAAATATATATTTATACACAACATTGCCAAGTACACACAAGAAAGGATATTTAGACTTCACTTCTCCCTCAAAACCATACATCTGATTCATAGAACTCGTTTCATGGTTGCCTGGAAATTAAAAGAATTAGCATGCATGATATCACGATCTTATCTGTGGCCATCCAACAATATGACTACACATGTAAAAACGCACAAGTTGTAACAAGTCTGCCAACAAGCCGTCAACAAGATGTACTCGCACTGCTTGTCCCAAGTTGTCAATAGGTTTGGAACAACTTGTAACAACCTTGTCGAAATTATCAGACTTGTTGCAAGGTTGTTCTGACTAGTCCGTTACATGCTTGATATAACAAGATTGTTACAACCTTGTGTTGACAACCTTGTAACATCCTTGTTATATCATGGCTGTAACAAACATGTTAGCACAATCTTGTAACAAGGCTGATAATGCCATCAAGCTTGTTACAAGTTGTTAACAGCTTGTTTCAAACTTGGTACAACAACTGGGAACAAGCAGTGCGAACACAACTTGTTGACAGCTTGTGAACAGACTTGTAACAACTTGTTTGCAGACTTGTTACAACTTGTGTGTTTTTACGTGTGTACACATGTAAAAATCTCACAACTTGTCAACAAGATGTGTTCGCGTAAACGACTTGTCGCAAACTTGTCAACAAGTTGTATCAATGCTGTTATTTTATCAAGTTGCTACAAGGTTGTCACTCACAACTTGTTGACAAATTGTTGAATTGCAGGACGATAACAAGTTGTTGGAACAGCATTGCAACAATTATGTTACCAAAGACTTTATTTTCCAGGAATGAATCGCAAGTAATAATTGCTACATAAACCACTTACCACGCGACATAAAAAAGTGATTGGGATACAAAAGTTTAAAACTAAACAGAGTAAAAATAACTTCACAGGAAAAAGAGCCTCTATCTACAAAATCTCCATTAAATAGCTAGAAACAAGTTAAGAAATCATAACTGTACATAACTTGAAATCATGAAAAATTGATTTATTAAATATGGATAGCAATTACGCACGTAAAAACGCACAAGCTGTTACAGGTCTGTCGACAAGTTGTGTTCGCACTTGTTCCCAGTTGTTGTAACAAGTTTGGAACAAGCTGTTAACAACTTGGAACAAGCTTGATGGCATTATCAGACTTGTACCAAAGTTGTTCTAACAAGTGTGATACAGTCATGATATAACAAGAATGTTACAAGGTTGACGACACAAGGTTGTAACAATATTGTTATATCATGACCGTATCGGACTTGTTGGAACAACCTTGCAACAGGTCTGATAATATCAACAAGGTTGTTACAAGTTAACAGTTTGTTCCAAACTTGTTGACAACTTGGGACAAGCAGTGCGAAGACAACTTGTTGGCAGACTTGCTACAAGATGCGAGACTTTTGCGTGTGGACTATTCGCTCAGAAACACACAAGCAAAGAAACTCACGCGCATGATAGCAATACATCTAGGCATACAAGAAATATCCTGTGATAGAATAGATGAAAATTCCAATGGAATACGCGTGAAGGTGAATTTGTCATTGTAAAGGATACGTATGGGTTCTCTTCAGAAGGTAGACCATTTAGTTCAAAAATATTTAATAAATCATAAAATTGACCATGAATATCCCCACATACAGTAAATCCATTTCCCTATAAAGTAAAACAAAAAATACAATTACAACTTCTTCCGGTTTTTGTCGATGGGAATTTGGAACGAAATATAGGCCCTCTAGCAGGAAGGCCCCCTGCAATTCCGGTGCAGCGCTCTAACCAACTGAGCTATACAGAGTCCAGTTGTCGAGCTGTAATCACAACTTCTGTATTGTATCGTGGGTGATGCCAGTATAGAACTGGAAAAAGTTATATAAATCAAGCCTTACCTCTGGTACCGTTATATCACACAACGAACTGACTTCTTGAAAATATTTCTTGATATCTATCAATATCTGTAGACAAATGTATCAAATAATAAGTGATAACAGATGCTGAAATTTACGAGTGGTGTCAGCTGTCAAAGTTCTTACCGTGTATGCGTATTTTTTATGTATTTTCTTTTGATCTTTAAACCTTGTTAAGAGTTGCTGAACGAAGTCAAGAGTGACTTTACCGTCTTCTAAATGCGGTCCGTCATAGCTGTTATCTACGGCTGGAATACAACAAACTATATAGTCAGAGTTCTGATAAGCATATTTTCTAGAGGTCCATGAAAAGAGTACGTGCCCAATCCCTCCAGTTCTGCATCATCACCTTAACACTAAGTCTATGTTCTCAAGGGGCTGGATGAATTCGGAACCCGGAAGTATTTATGTATAGTACGCGTGCGCAGATGGTCCCAGTTAGTCTCAATCCCAATCCTCTATCGTGCAAAATGGTCTTGAAAAAACCCGGTTCCGCTGTTCACATGCTCTAATTTAGGAGCCATTCCGGTACAAACGAAACCTAATTTTATTGGGTCTCGAATTCGTACGGTTAGCTGTCCTGGAATTTCTCCGGCCCCACGGGGTCTAAAAGTATGTTTCCACTATATCGGATATCTTTCCGTGGCGGCTCGAAAAAGCACCTATCCGATAGGAAATGTACAACTTTCAGAAGCTGAGCGAAACAACATCTCTCTGTTGCAATAATTCCTCTGAAAATAGCGTTCCTAAAAGGTACGGATAAGTGTTTTTTCACGTCGCTACGGAAAGCTATCTACAGTGTAAACGTAGCCTAAAACACGATGTCTGCCCCGTATCTGTCCACAAGATGTGCTTCTAATCTTGTAGTCATCAGAGAGCAATGTTATTGTAGGGAGAATCCGTGATCACATTGTCATGGTTACAAGACATGTGATGTATCAATATTGCTCCCAGAACTAGGAGAAAAACGTCAAGATGAGTTTTGCCATCTTTCTCCTAACTTGATGCTAACATAAGTAGGATAATTTATATGCCTTAGTTTGACGGTTCGCATGTGGGACGGTGTTCAGCCATGCGCAGTTACCAAAATGTTTGCTAATTTATGTTATTAATACACTAGTTCTCCTTGTTCATCACTACCGAAGCTTTCTTATTGATACAGTTAAACGTTTACCTATTGAATTGACATCAAGTGATTCTGCAAGAGATTTCTTTTCGTGATCAACAGCTATGGCTTTTTCAAATGCTTGTTTTTGGACAATTTTCTTACATTCGGTGTACTTTAGCTTCGCGTCCTTGTCTTTAGGACGAAATTTAACCACCTACATGACGTAATAATATGATGGATTTCTCTACTTGATACTGTAACATTTGGACTGTTCTAACCAGTAACTTTACCTGTGAATTTCCAAGATCAATTAAAACAAATCAATGATATAACAGATCAATGATTTTGCAATTATTTCCCTTGGTTTCAGTTTAGACTATTAAAAATATCTCGTCTCAAAAATTCAGCTTTTGATGAATGTGGTTTAGTTTTTTGACCCTTATTTTACTCTGTCTAATGCGAGGCAATTTCACTTGTCAAGAAGAAAGCAGTGGTGCTTTATGTGTTAATTACTTACAGTTTCATAATCTTTTAAACTTGCTTTGAATTTTCCTAACACCATGTTTGCTGAAGCACGTCTATAATACCCCTGGAATATCAAAGATAAGTTGTTACATTATATCTAGAGTGTTGGGGGAAAGAGAGGGGTGTGTTGGGGAGAGATATTGGAGAGAGGGGCATACATATTGGAGAGAGGGGTGTATTGAGGGGGGCTTATTTGGAGAGGGAGGCTTATTTGGAGAGAGGGGCTTATTTGGAGAGGAGGGGCTTATTTGGAGAGAGGGGCTTATTTGGAGAGGGGGGTTTATTTGGAGAGAGGGGTGTTTTTGGAGAGGGGCTTATTTGGAGAGGGGCTTATTTGGAGAGGGGCTTATTGGAGAGAAGGGCTTATTGGAGAGGTGTACATTGGAGAGAGAGGCATATTGGAGAGGGGTGTGTTAGAAAAAGGGGAAAGTGTATTGGAGAAAGGGCTAAATTGAAAGAAAGGCTTAGTGGAGGGAGGGGCATGTTGGAGAGAGGGGTGTAATGGAGGGAGGGGCCTATTGAGAGAAAGGCTTATTGGAGGGAGGGATATGTTGGAGAGAGGGGCATGTTGGAGAGAGGGGCATATTGGAGAGGGGTGTATTAGAAAAAGGAGAAAATGTATTGGAGAAAGGGGTATATTGAGAGAAAGGCTTAGGGGAGGGAGGGGCATGTTGGAGAGAGGGGCATATTGGAGAGTGGGGCTTATTGAGAGAAAAGCTTAATGGCTTATTGGAGGGAGGGGCATGTTGGAGAGAGGGGTGTAATGGAGGAAGGGGCTTATTGAGAGAAAGGCTTATTGGAGAGAGAGGCATGTTGGAGGGAGGGGCATATTAGAGAGTGGGGCTTATTTGTGCAAGAATACCAACAAGAATGCCACTTAAAAGATGCAACATTCAAACCACAGTCACTTCGTAACTCGGATCTGATTCTGAATGTTGCAGGCAAACTCAATTTCCCAATTTCATTAAATTGTTGAATATTTTTTTATAGAATTGGGCGTACAAGAATCGTGTTTTGAACAGAAGATAAATTAGACAGTTCAGCGTCAAACAAACTAGACTCTCTACCTTTATATACGTTTTATCAAGTTCCAAAGCTTTATTAGCATCAGTCAATGCATCACCATAGTTCTCCAGTTTGATAGAACAAAAACTTCTATTGCCATAATACACAGCACAATGTGGGTTCAATCTGATTGCATGAGAATATAGTTCCATTGCAGTCACAAAATCACCATCTGTAAGTGATAATACAGAACTTAAATTTTGGAATATTGGGTCATTCCGGAAAACATCAATACGTCCCCCACAGAGTAAAGTAGAAGTTAACCCCCTACTCCCCCTTTGTTCCAGAAAAGATCCACACTCCCCCCACAGAAGAAATTTCTGCCAGTCAGAGAGGGGTGGGGGAAAGAAAAATTTGTTTGTGGTAATAATAAGTGTATTAGGAGGTCCGAAGGGGGTAGGGGGTTAACTTCCAATTCCCTGTGTGGGGGAGGTATGGATGTTTTCTGGAATGACCCTATACATTTTCTGGTACCGGTAATGAGTTTCCCCCCTCCCCTCCTCAGAGGAGTACAGCTCTTTTCTGGAATGACCATTGCTACATTACGGGTTAAGGGCCACCTTCATATTCAAGATGCCAAACACCAGACTGCAAAGTTTGGAAATTGCATGCTGGAGATTTCGAAAATGTAATAGTAAATATATAGAAAGCATAAAAAATGCGTGCTAAAGATCTTCCGCGCACAGTGCAGTAAATGCAGTCTGGCCAGACTGCAAAGTTTGGAAATTGCGCGCCGGAGATTTCGAAAATTTAATAGTAAATATATAGAAAGCATCAAAAATGCGCGCGGTCCAAACAGTCTAGAAAATGCAGTCTGGGCCAAACAAAATATCAAAGGCAAAAAAGTTACAAAATAGGCACTTAACAATTGGAATTTTGTGATATGGGGGCAGGTTATACGAAGCACCCCAAGGGGCGCTAAAATATTTTCCTGAAAAAAATCTCGGCAGCTCTGACCAAACTCTGCAATCTGGCTCTGACAAATATACACTGCAAAGTATTATATTTTACAACATATATTGTTATATGAAGATAGCCCAACAGGGTTTGAGAGACATTGAGAAATGTTTCATAAATCTGTGGAATGTTCAAAGCGTTTTCGGTTCACAATAATATTAAAAGCACGGTCAGTGAATACATATTTAACACTTTCGACTTTGTACAACCTGTACAAATAAAACAGGTTTTTCTAAGAAATACAAAATATGGCGTGAAAACATTTCAAGACGAATATGAAGTACTGCAGTTTACCTTTAAAAAATTCATTCGCTTTGGCTTTCACAGTTTCTGCTTCTTCTTTTATCGCCTCGGAAATCTCGACATTTTCCTCTCCACTTTCCGCCATTTTTAATTTTTTTTTCTTCCTGAACTGAACCGCAGACCATATGTAGCGTGGACTCAGAAAGAGAGTCGCACGTGGAATGCACGTGGTAAGACGTAAAAACGCACAAGTTGTGCCAGTTGTTACAGGTCTGCAAACAAGTTGTTACAAATCTGTTCACAAGCTGTCGACAAGTTGTCTTCGCACTGCTAGTTCCCAGTTGTTGGAACAAGTTTGGAACAAGCTGTTTATAGCAAATAGCAACTTGTAACAAGCATGATGGCACTATCAGACTTGTTACAAGGTTGTTCTAACAAGTCTGATACAGTCATGATATAACAAGAATATTACATGGTTGACGACACAAGGTTGTAGCAATATTGTTATATAATGACTGTATCGGACTTGTTGGAACAACCTTGCCACAAGTCTGATAATGTCAACAAGCTTGTTACAAGTTGTTAACAGCTTGTTCCAAACTTGTTGACAATTTGGTAATTGGGACAAGCAGTGCGAACATAACTTGTTGACGGCTTGTTGGCAGACTTGCTACAAGATGTGAGATTTTTACGTGTGTAATTCACCTTATTTTGCCATCGTATAACTCTTTACATTGCCAAGTGTAATTATACTTTACTAAACCATTTGACACAGTAAACGTTTTGCAAAATGAACAGTAAACATTTTGTCGAATCTACCCAGTAAAAACGCACAAAATGGCACAGGTCTGCAAACAAGTTGTTACAAATCTGTTCACGCGTAAAAATCTCACATCTTGTCGCAAAATCTCACATCTTGTCTGCCAACGCGTAAAAATCTCACATCTTGCAGCAAGTCTGTCAACAAGCCGTCAACAAGTTGTGTTCGCACTGCTTGTCCCAAGTTGTCAACAAGTTTGGAAAAAGTTGTTAACAACTTGTAACAACCTTGTTGATATTATCAGACCTGTTGCAATTAAGGTTGTTCCAACAAATCCGATGCAGTCATGAAATAACAATATTGCTACAACCTTGTGTCGTCAACCTTGTAACATTCTTGTTATATCATGACTGTATCAGACTTGTTAGAACAACCTTGTAACACGCCTGATAATGCCGTCAAGCTTGTTACAAGTTGTTAACAGCTTGTTCCAAACTTGTTACAACAACTGGGAACAAGCAGTGCGAACACAACTCGTCGACAGCTTGTGAACAGATTTGTAACAACTTGTTTGCAGACTTGTGACAACTTGTGCGTTTTTACGTGTGTTCGTACTGCTTGTTCCCAACTTGTGACAAGCTTAATGGCATTATCAGACTTGTTACATGGTTGTTCGAACAAGTCTGATACAGTCATGATCTAACAAGAATAGAGACGTCAATGTATTTCATTCTGGAGTGAAATAATCAGTATTGTATTACTCTACTGCTATTGTTTCTGGCTGTGTTATTTTCCAGAGTGTCCCAGTCCAAGACGGCCAGGACGTTTAAATGCTTTGACAGGTTCGCGGATACCCGAGCAGCTAGGCCCCAATCCTTGGCCAGGAGCCCAACCCATGGTCTTCAACATCTGATTCCCGATATTTTTCTCAGACAATGGAGGAGCAGCGTCACCAACTAAACCCGAAGAAAAAAAAACAATCCAGTTGATATAGTTCTACTACTTCGATAATATACACATATAATACTTTATCACCCACGTAAAATTCTCACAACTTGTCAGCAAGATGTGTTCGCAACAGGCTTGTAGCAAGTTTGTCAACAAGTTGTAACAATGTTGTTATTTCATCAAGTTGCTACAAGGTTGTCACTCACAACTTGTTGACAAATTGTTCAATTGCAGAACGATAACAAGTTGTTGGAACAACTTGTGATAACAAGTCTGTTGAGTGTTGAGCTCAACAACCTTGTAGCAAGTTTTCAACAAGCTGGGAACAAGCAATGCGAACACATCCTGTTGACAAGTTGTTGGAACAGCATTGCCACAAGTCTGCTGCAGGTTTGTTACAACTTGTTCGTTTTTACGTGTGTGGCTTAAAGTTTTTTCTAATAAAATGGCAGATTTCAGTGTGAATTAAACGAGATTAAAGCAAGTCATCCTATCACTCATAAAATCTCACCTTGCATAAGTGGGGAAGTTTTTCGTCTTCGCTTCACGTCAATTCCAGCACTGCATGTCTGCGATTCTCGCCTGTTCAAAGCCAAATAATTAAAAAAAGTCATTGGAATTTACAGACCTTTATACTATATGCGGCTTTCAACAGACCTTTTCCCCTTTTGAGTGAAATTTTGATCAAGACAAAAATTTCATCACAGCTTGAAAGAGCATCACAAAATTAGTAATATTCCGAAATTTCGTTGCGAAATGTTGTAAAATGCGGATAATATAGCCTTGCGAAGTTTGCCGTTTTTCAGTCATTTTGTATTAGAAATGGGAAATTGATGATCAGCTTGATCATCTGATGATAAATTTCCAGTTTGTTTAAATGCAAAATGACTGAAAAACGGCAAACTTCGCAAGGCTATATTATCCGCATTTTACAACATTTCGCAACGAAACTTCGGAATAATACTAATTTTGTGATGCTCTTTTAAGCTGTGATGAAATTTTTGTCCAGGCATATCTAGATCAAAATTTCACTCATAAGGGGAAAGGTCTATTGGTTTGAGTCTAAATTCAAAGACAAAGAGTCTTACATTTCTCTAAATGGTCTTCCCAGGAAGTGACACAATGCGGATTGTTCGGGTTTACTTGTACTCCTTAAAAAGAAAAGTGAAATATCTAATTGCATGTTCTTTCAACACCAAAAGTGTTCAACAATAGTGGAATACTTTACCTTGTTTTGACAAGGACAACCATGCCTCTTTTTGGAGAATCCTCCATTTTGCAATGCAGAGAGTAAAGTGCAGCCAGCTGTGAGAGCTAGTGGAAAATCAGAGTGTACAAATATGAATAAGCTATACATGTTCAGATGAGACACATGTATACTCGGAACAATCATACCTCATTTAGGAACTGGCCATCATTTATGGCAGGGGGGTGGTACCAAAGAGAAAAGGGTTGGGTAAACAAAATTTTGAGTGAGTGAAATGAAAAACAAAACAACTCAAAGGTTGGGTAATAAAAAATTGTCATTTCCAAAGCACGGCTCACTCAAATACTAACCCATTGAGTGGCAGCACTCTCCCCTTGACAAGTAAAATAGTCTGGCATTAGACAGAGTAAAATAATAAAGTAGGGTGCATTGCCACTTAAAGACTAAACAGCAATGTCAACAGTCATATGCCAATACAATATGTTAATCAATCAAAGTCACAAGAAATCGCAGTAAAAATTGCAAGACGTGTAAATGGCATAAACAATCCTATCATCCTTTATTGTACCTCTTCTCTATCTTTTCTCTTCACATGAGCGAGACGTAACCTGAAAAATTTGAGAAATAAGCTTTAATACAAAGTAAATATCGTGGTTAAGAAGAAAGCTTCCTCTCTGATAGAGACAATGTTAAAAGTACTGCATATCATAGCAATAAACTCACTCCACTTTGGTGGGATCTTGCAAGAACTTCTTGATTCTTTTATTGGCCTCAAGCATTGCCGATTGTCCCATCTTTAATGTAATACATACAGATATTATAGTCTGGGTTTGTACAATGTATTAGTATACAATTTTCTATGATAAGTACACAGATTAATGAGCTGTCAACAGCTCAGCACTTCATTCTGTCTGGGGCCACACAATACGTCATTATTACAACCATTAGTACCTCTGATCTCAGTAAACCTGATCCAGATTGTCTACCACTAGAAACTAGAAAAATATATAAAAACTCAGCCACATACAAAAGCATATACAGTAGATATTAATAAGTTCTTTGTAGGTTCCCCAAGCCTGCGATCCTCGGGAAGGAACGCGAGGCTCTGGGATAATCTGTTGCCGGAAGCCAGGAATCCTGGCTAAGATTGAACTTCGCATTCCATATCAACGGCCAATCAGATTCCTCCCTGAAACGGATTATCCCAGAGCCTCGCGTTCCTTCCCGAGGATCGCAAAACGAGATTGTAGGTTTGCATGGTGACAAAACATAATACTTTTTGTTTGTGGAAACACCACATAAATTAATTATTATTAATAGATATTAAATTGATGATTCTTGAGCCATGTCTATGGGGCCATGCACACATACTGACTTAGGAAATTTTGATTTTTGCCCAAATTTTGAGAAAGAGAATGCTTTATAGCCCATATGCAAAGGATTCCTCAGCCGTAGTTATAATGAGCTTATCCAGATTTTACTGTAAAATTGAATTCTACCATGTTAGCCGGACTCTTGAGCCAACTATGGATAAGGGGAACTTTGACTTAGACAAACCTAAAATATTTTTTCATCATACACAGACTTGGAAAAGTTCAAAATGCATACTGACCAAAAACATTTTGGGTCAAGAGACTTTTTGAATTTTTCACATGGGGTTTAAGCTATCTTTTCTGTAATTATTATAAACAAGGCTGAGAAACGAACCTTGATCGTCTTCAAGGAAAAATGGTTTTGACTTTAAATATTCTAAAGTTTCTCGATACAGTTTATGAAACTCTTGATCCTCGTCTTCGCTATTTGGCCTTCCTCGGAGCCGGCCAAATTGGGAATCTGTCTCGTAACAACTCTCTTCCTGTTCATCATCTCCAAATTGTCCTTCATCATTTGTGAAAATTTCTTCGCTGCTTGACGATAGTGCACTGCTTTCTGGTGTATGCGTACTTTCATACATAGTTTCCGATTCACTTCCGTGCCCATCATCGCAAATGTCCATGTCTTGTACACTCGGCCACGAATGCCGAGCATGTCCGACGGAATGTGACATCGCACACAACCCGTGATTGAGGTTTTCCCCGCAACTACTGGTATGCCCGTTTTCGGCATCGGCTAAAAAATCGTCGTCATTTAACCGACTGCGGTGAGCCTTGAGGATTACATGCTTATTAGAGCTCATTTGAACAGGCCGCAGCTTACTTGCATCCAACATCAAAGGGGGTGGGACTTTAAACAGGCTCGGTTGTAACGTGACCGAAACAGGATGGCTCGTACTGTTGCCGCACATTTTCCTGTGTTTTCGCTTGCGTTTTCGTCTTTTCTTCTGGTAGTTAATCTCGGAACAAGAATCGCTTTCGGCCTTATCCGCATGGTGATAAGGGTCCGGGCAGCCATTAGTCAGATTGTTAAGTTGACACCGAAGTGAAGACAGACGTTTTGTCATGTTGCTTTCTAAATCAGAATCACTTTGTTGAGCGGCAATATTTTCCATGTAATCCCTCAAAGCTTCATCGGTTGTGTCGCTTTCCTCGCTGATTTTTCCAGCACTTTCCAACAAGTAAAATATATTTGAACGGTTTCGTTTCCTTCGTTTTTTAAACGACCTCCGTTTCAATAGATCCTGCCCACTGGCAGTGGCAGCAGGGAAAAATTCAGCCATATCATCAAACGCCATAGCCTCGCTTTTAAAACTAGAATTGGCCATCTTTCCATAAAGTATCACAGAAATAAAGGGTTACATAAACAGGAAACACTTTAAGATTTACTTATTTATACAAATTGCCATTAAAACTCGACGAAAAAACGTATTAAAAATATCTTATCACTCAACTGTAAAATATAAACATGGCGACCTCAACAGCATACACCTCCCCCCTGAAAAACATTCTTTTACTTACAAATACAGGGGGGGAGCTCCGCGACTCTAATTTGCAACTATGCTATTAGACAGTGGGCGAAGCTGGCCATGGCAACTGGTCATGTTTTGTTAATAAACTTGCATCCAAATAGGGTTACAGTAAAGACAATATATTTCTAAGGTTTGAATAATTGAAATCATTGAAAAATTTGCACAGTATGGCTAGCTTCGCCTAGCAATACAAAAACGACAGATCTCTAAAAAATTACATTTAATTTATTCAAAAAATCATTTTTACAACTTTAACAGTTTAATACGTATGTAAATATGAGAATTCATTTTTAAAGAGAACATTGACTCAAAGTATTTGAACATCTCCTAACATTAACATTTACGCATTCAAATTCACACAAAAAATAGCGCATTTAAGAACGTGGATATCTTGGAATCCGAACGAAGCTAATCGCCAAATCGGCACGTTGCTATTCAGTTTATTTCATTGAACGGGCCATTCGATAATTATCTGGTGTATACGTACGAATGGTGTCCCAGAGAGGCCGGCTAACCGGAAAACACGCCTCAATGGGACAAATAACTCACATGCAAACGCTCTATTGGGGTGGAATATATTTCTCTTTGATCTAGATCCCAAACCCCGAAGGTGAATAGCGATCTTGGGATCCAACACACAACTACGCTAACTAATGAATTTTCAAACAGCGGTATTTCGTCTTAACTGAAGAGCATCCAGCTGCTCTAAAACAAACGTTATAGCTTCTTGTCGGACATGCTTGAGTTGCGATTCTAAATGGCTCACTTTCTCTAAAGCTTGATTCAAATCGTTGTTTAGTTTTTCGTTCTCATCTGTCAGCCGTTTGTTCTCGTCCAGCAGAGCTCTATTTGCCTACAGAAAACATTGTATTCACGCAGTTAGAAATTGACCAATGTCTGGTTTACGCTATCAAAGTTTCTGTAATCATAGTAGGAATTTTGCATAGGTAAAAAACTAAATTTTGAAGGATTTGTAAGAAATGTTTGAGGGAACTCACTCAGTGTTAAGGGCGAGTCAGATCCCTCAAACACTTCTTACAAAATCCTTCAAAACTTAGAATTTATCTATGCAAAATTCCTACTGTGATCACAGAAACTTTGATAGTGTAAACCAGCCTTCTTAGTAATACATAGTCTTTCAAGACATGGTCTGGAAACTCAGTAAACTTCAAAGCGGTTTTAATGAGCTGGGATTCTATGTTGAGCCGTATCTTACACCGTGCACATCCTTTGTTTCAGGTTTATTAATATTTAAATAGCATGGTTGAATGGCTGAACTGAAGCGTTGCTATTGGATGATCCGTTCATTATACTGAAATACAATGTGTTCATTGACCGTGCACCGTGCACTAAACTGCATAAACGCGAACAAAAAGATAGAACAAAGACTTTAGCGGAGTTTCCAAACCATGTTTTGAAAGACTATGAGTAATAGCATCCTAACCCATGGAGGCGCTTCGAATTGCTAAGCCAACCAACGGCGTTATCACACCACAGAGCTTGGGTACTGGGCTGGTAACAGACTTCACTTGGAAATTGCTCATCGCCAAGTTGATTAGGATGGTGATGGGCTGGTAACAGACTTCACTTGGAAATTGCTCATCACCAAGTTGATTTAGGATGGTGATGGAGTATTACTCCTAACTACCAACATTACGAATGCAAAGTTCGTATTTCCTCACCTGATCTGGTACGTCTGGTTTTGTGTGAACGGTATCGACCTCGTCTACTGTGATAGGTTCTTCTTTGATCATGGTATCTCGATCTGGATTGCCCATGCGAGATTTCCTCTTGTTCTTCCATTTATGACGTATTGCATCCGCTTTACTTGCTGCTCTTTCTAACGCTACAATGACACACGTGACGTTAGCAGAGATTATACACACACGCAAAAACGCTGATGCTGAAAACTCACTTGATGAATTTAAATGTGGTGAACTAGGAGTCGATGATTTCGTCCGGCAGTCAACAACAACTTGTCCTTTGCAAGCTTTGTGACAGTTAATCCCACAATCTAAAACATGAAAGTTATATACAAGTGTTCGAAATTCAATTTTGTTATCTAAAACATGAAAGTTCAATATGATGTAGTCCAGAAAACACTAACACTTGTATTCTAAAAGCTCACTCACACTCCGTTCAATCTGAGCTTCCCTGAGTGTCAATGTTGTTTTTGAATAGCCACTAACCCTCCAGCTATTCAAAAGCAGCACAGATACTCAAGGGAAGCTCAGATTGATACGCTCAGATTGATACTAACTCTCCAGCTATTCAAAAACAGCATTGACACTCACGGGAAGCTCAGATTGAACCTCCACTCTTTGAGTGCGAGTGAGCTTTTAGGATGGATACAGGCGTAAGGCATAGAAATATTGCATCCTCAAGGTACAGATTGTCATGATCGAGCACTATGCTTACCTTTACATTTAAAACCTTGTCTGATTAATCCCCAAAGCTGTGAGAAAAAAATGCATTTCTTGAATAAATCAATGCAGCTAACTAATTTTGATTTATGTATAAACTGACCACTCGTTCTACCAATATCATACTCACCACTCCACCACAATGTTCGCAGAAGTTTGGGGTAAGGTAAGTCGTTTCCTGGAAATTATGAATAAAATCTCTTCCCAGAGCACGGTAGTTTGCCTTCAAGAAATACGCCTTCATTTCATCTTTCGTGACAACACCATCACTGAAAGATACAAGTTTGGTTTGGGTATCTACTAGTTGTACAACGCTTTTTTAGATGGAAATTTCGCAGGGCAGCAGGATCGATTCCTGCCAGAGGGCCTATAGTTATATTTTTCGCAACTGTTCCTGGTTAGGTCTAACTAAATGTATAAAATTCTCACTCAAAATTTCCATCTACAGAATTCTTCTACATAAAGTTTGGTAAACAGTATACAAAAGAGTAACTTTGGCGTCTTACTGTATATTCAGAATACTCTAGGGATCTCAATATATATCGGAAGTCAAGTAACAACAAAGGCAGAGGCGTAACAACATTTTTTTTTGGGGGGGGGGG